GAGAGAGAGAGAGAGACGAGAAAGCGGGCAGGCCAAAAGACTTTTTGGCTTGGTGCTTGCGATGTTTGAAGTGCCGTCACCGGAAGCTTACAAACACCGACTCGGTGTTGTGACATCGTATTATGCCAGGGCGAAACTTACGGTCTCGCTAGATCGTTAATTTGCGATCCGGTTTTACGAGACTACCTAGGTCGCTTCGCGAATCGCCGAGACGCGAAATTTGGCGTCGATATTCGAATCACGAAAAAAAATTCATTCCAGATATATATATATATACTTGGCGATCTTTACGACCTGTCCGATGCATCATTCAGCTCCTTTTTATTCTACGCAATTTCTATGCAAAATACTTTTATTGTTATATTTCCAAAAATGAAATTCGGTTTTTGTTAGAAAAACGAGAAGTAGAATATTTTCAAAAAATTGTATTCCACATTTTTGACATCTTTTCACGCCAATCTCGTATCGTGTTTCTCTTATCGCTAACCACTCTGTGTAACGTCCACTATCAATGTTTTCCCGTAAAACCGTGATTAAGAATTAATTACGAAAGGTCGATCATTTTCTGCATTGCGACAAAATAATTATAGCATAACCGTTAAAGAAAAGATATTAAGTTTACAATACATATGCAAATTCATCGCGTTTGTTTTACCGTATCAAATATAATCTTGAAAGTCTTATCGTTTCCGTATCCAAATTCACAAAGTGTCTTCTTACATACATCTGCTGTGTTGAATACTCAAAAATCTTTTAGTACAGATACAAGAGATCAATATGAGACGAACGACATTATTTTATCATCGCAACCACGATAAAACGTATCTATCACTTTTCACACGATACTTTCACGTGATATTGTTAAATAAATACACTCAGGAAATGCTTAAGATTATTATTAACCGTTTAAAAATAAAGCCAAAAAATTATCAATGTCTTGTTAAAGCTCATGCCGAACAAAAAAACAGTGTAGCAATCTTTTTTAACGCTTCTATATGCAAACAAACAATCGCGCGAAAGATTAATTTTTTTCTGTAAATACGAAATCTACTTATTAATTATTTTTAAGGGATTAGTAAGAAGAATCCTTAAATAAATAATGAAATTCGAAACATCTCGATGCTAAAAAATTAATTTATCACTTATTTTTGTGCCTCAATATAGAAAATATAAATCTTATTTTATAAATTTCTAAAGAGAAATGATGATGAGAGTGATCTCCAAAATTATTATATTAAATTATACTAAATATTATATTTTTCATTTTCGATAAAAAAATTAAATTCATCTTTCCATGTTTAATCATCTCGTTGAAATCCTTGAGAACTCGGGTGGTTAAAGAACGAATCAACGAACAAATGGTAATCAGAGTTGCCATCGATTTTTAGCTCGTGTTCGCGAAACCGATCGTCAATGCAAACCGATTGACGAAGTGACATGCTCGATAACCCACTTTTAATCTATTCAATGATCATGTCGTGAACGAATCGTGCGCAAACATCGATGCTGAATCTGCGATAAGAAAATTCTGCCGAGATTTCTCTTTGTACACCTGACCCTCCTACCTTACGGAATAAGAAAAAGATACGGAATAAGCTATTTATGAGTTTTCGAATCCTCCAAATTAAAAAGATCGCCACTGACTAGAAATTTAATTATTATTAATGTATTTAATTATTTTAATTATTTACTGATTACTAAATTAAATTTTATTTTTCAAGTGGGAGGGGGCTGAAGAAATGTTCACTCAGCTCCTCACTTAAAAAATCAAATTTCAATGTACAGTTGACAAACTCAAAATTGTTAATTTGCAAAATTCGAAAATTCTTATAAAAAGCTTATAATTCTGAGTTGTACTTTTTTTCATTCCAAAGTGCAAGAGTCAGCTGCACAAAGGTCTTTTAATAAATCGAGAATCATCAAGGTTAACTTCACTACGCTTTTTCTTTCGTCATAGACAAGGTTTCTAATTTTCGTCTAATTTAAGATGTAAAATGAGCAACGAGAATTTATCAGCAGAATGAATTTCACTAAAGCAGCTTCGAAATATTGCGCGAAATTGTCGCAAAGTAAATCTCGTAGAAGACATGGCTCGCGAGTCGTTGTGAAATTTTCGAGGTCATGACCCTCCAACTCTTTTTTTTTCGTTCCCCTGTTGGAAGATAACGAGAGCATGCGTGACGACGTTAAGTTGATCATTTCTCGCGTCGTTCCGCGAAAAACTCTCTCGGAAAAAAAAAAAACAAACGAGTGATAAAAAGAACGATTGCCGAAATATAGATAGAATAACGAAGGTTATTCGTACGTCATGTTGCCTATTATCACTGTAAGTGAAATTATAGACGCACTTCATTCCAGTCCGTTCCATGTCCGAGTATTTAAATTTTCAATTAAATTTTTTACTCAGTTCAAAAAAAATTTTCAAATGTGTCAATTGTTAATAATGAAACTTTTTCACATACAAGTATTATACTTTCCATTTAAATATTGCGCGGATAAATTGATATTGAAAAATATTAAGAGTTAAATAATATTTTATAATATTAAGTAAGTGAAAACTTAATTAGTATCGCGTTTTTTGTTAAAAAAATTTTTTTAAGTTTTTCTGAATATTAAATCCGCCTTTTCTTAAAATGTATTTCAAATCTCGCCACGAGCGAGATTACCCCCCCCCCGACTTCTCGACTTACCCCAGAAACAGGGATGATGTGCGAAACCATCCTGGATCTGTCCACGTAATTCATAAAGGCGTCGGCCGTCGCCGCTGCATTTACACGATGCTGCTGCAATTGCACCCAATCACCGGTCGGGTTCTCCACAATTGCACCGCCGACGGCTTCGACAGGTCGGATCAAACGATCCCGTTCAGATCTCGCGAAGACGTTAATGTTTGGAGTTTTCTTTCACTGACACTTCAAAATCAAGCGATCGTTTCATGCTCCAGAAAGCATGTGTTACCAAGCAAAACACTCGTTTCACATCGGCGACACAATCCGCACAGTATCGCGCAAATCGTTAAGGGAGTTAAAATCGTTCTGGATACGATCGTTCCGGGACAAAAAATTACATTGCAAGAGCGATGTTGCAATTTCGCACTTCACATCTTCGAGGAGAATCGTTCGTGGCAGTCGCAAACGTGAAGGTTTCGGAAGATTCTCTTGGAACCAGGAAGAATATTCAATTGAGAAAATCTGTAACAGAATAAATATACGTTTTCCATCAGTTTCTGTAATGTGCTCGCGCGTGCAAAAAAGAAAAAGTTAAACAATTGAATTATCTTCAAAAACGCAGTGTATAGCAAATAGAAATATCTTTTATTTGTGTAAAAGAACAAGAGCTTTACAAATCACGTGAAATTTGAATTTACACTTTCGGCAAAATGAGGCCCAATATTTTTACGACTTTTTTTTAGATAAATATATTTTTTTATACATTTATAATTATATATAATTAATATGTCACTTTTGTCATAGCAAAAATATTCAAATGCAGTTAACTTGTGTATGTTCTATAAAGTTTAAAAATAACTCTTAGAGTATATTAATCGTTGTTACGTTAGTCACAATTGTCAAAAGCTATACATAACCACTTCTTTCAAATCAAAATGTCTACAACCACTAAAATTAAACTTCATAAAACTTTTTCACTTGTTCCCGTGGTAACCGTTCGCAATTAACGTATCATACTAATGAAAAAAAGCTGATGCAAACATCAATGTAATAGCCTGTCTTGAATCAGGTCAGCTGATTCATCGAAAATCCCCACATACATTCGCAATGTCAAAATAAAAACGTGCACAGTCTTACAGATAAAAGATTCACTGTGTATTTTGTCACGTTTTTCGTGAACACAGACGAAAAAAAAAAAAGATGACATCTGATAACTTAATTATCGAAGCATTCGTTAGTTCCAGCACCAGAGAGACTAAAATTAGACATCAGGACGTAGTTTGTCATTAGTACAACTAATCGTCGTTGGCATCGGCAAGGGAAGCCGATGTTCCCTGGTGTCGGGAGACAGGGAAAATAAAAGAAGAGGTTTAAAACGACAATCGCGGTATCGAAACCCGGGTTCCAACGTGTTCCAAGCAGCAATACACCACTCGTCCGTCGGTGACGAGGCACTATGAGAGTCGCCAGCACGAGAGACGAGACGTCTCTCTGGATGCTGCCGGCTGACGCCGGAAAGATGACGAGTACGCAACAGCTGAACACTTAACTAAAACCTTAGTGACGATCGAGAGAAAAGGGACTTGGAAGTCCCCGGGGACTCGTCGGGACTTCCGCCAGCGTTTAGGCAGACCGCCGCTCCTCGTCCGCACCGTCGTAAATCCCGCCTAGATCGCGATGTTTACGATTTTTCGAGGTCGTTCCCCTCTTCAATTTAGGCAGCTCCTCTAAAAGCTACTCTCTCTCAGAATCATCGGAAATTTTTCGACGACAGTCGCGATCATGAAGCGAGTTAATGAAGCGCACTTATCAATCATTCGCACAGTTAACCGGGCCAAAGATATTTATATATCTGTTGACGGGAAATCGTTTCTCTCCCTCTTTCCCCCGTCCCCTCGATTAGATTATGTGTTTGTTAGGCGACATTATATTCTTATGTATCTCCGCTAATTCGTAATCCGCCGTAATTCTGTTTATAACGAAAGGTCTTGTTGCGAAAGGTCGCGAGTGATAAGAGACTTGTAAACACTTCTACTAATCAGCGGTCTCAACATTTACATTTTTTTTTGTTCTTACTAATGGATTCACAACCTTCAATGTTTCCAAATTGCTTGAGAAAAATTTCATGAATTTCGTAAATGGCGTTCTTATTTTTAAAAATTCAAAATCCAGATTAAATTCCATATATAGAAAGAACAATTTTAGTGGCAAATCTAAAAATTTGACCAGATGCAAATCTGAAAATAATTTTGTTGGATTTTTAAAATTATTATATATGTATGTTCAAATTAGTTGCTAGAAGATCAAAAATTTTTGCAGTATTATTTTCATGCTTAAGCGTCTTATATAATAATTTTGATATTCAACAAAATTATTTTCAGATCTATATCTGGCCAAATTTTGAGATTTATCAGCGAAATTCTTCTCTCCAAGAGGGAACATCTCGAAAATTTCAAATAAATCGAGAAATAGGTCAGGAAATTTTCCTATACATCTTGTAACATTAATTCTTTTCGTAATATGCAAGAAATGCGAGCTTAACCTATAATGAAATTTGATTATAAATGTTATATTAAGATATTTCTTAGATTAAGAAATTTAATGATTCATAAAAGTTAATTGTTACAAATTTTCTACAACTTTCCCTGCATTTACCAAATTGTATCTATTTAATTGCAGTCATTATTTATTCATGATTTAAATCAATGCAAGAATTATGCATATTTGTTATCCTTCCCTAAATTATTAAGACAATTTTCGATTAATTGACTGCGATTGACATAACAATATAGAATGCAGTCGTGGATACTGATTCTTTATACAAAAATGAACATAGATTATAAAATAATTTATTCCCCGTCACGCACTTCTCGTAAAGACACGCATTCTATATATCCTTGTAAAAGATCAAGAAAAATTTAGATAGTAAAAAATAATTTTCTTTGTTTTTGTAAAAAAAAAAAAAGGATAGCAAAATCTTTTCTTTTCTTTGTACGCACATTTATGTAGACTATCTTATCTTTACTCTTCACTTTGTCAAAAATACTTATAAAATATTGCCTTGGTTTTCAGGTAACACATGAGGATTCAATCCTTCGCGTGCAGACGAGGAAGGGCGCGTTTGTGTCATACAAGATATGTGGTTGTACGTTAACAGAATTCACGTGAGCATTCCGGAACTAGACAAGAGGGCACGCGGCGCCGATCGGTCGGTCAATCGACCGATGATACCAATTCTTTTCCACTTGTTTTACGAAGAAAACTCCGCTTATCTTCGCGCTCGCGCGCGCGATGCAGCGCGAAGAAGAAATATTTATCTCGCTGTTTAGTAAACAGCCGTCCGCGTTCGGACCGCTACAAATCGGTCGTTCGCCGATCGCGAACCGAAGTTTACAAACTTCGACGATCTCGCGCGAGAGTCTTTGAGATAGCCGAAAAAAATGTTACACACGCGAAACCGGCGGCACGCGCGACGATGACTTACTTCTTTCGCGCGAACGATAATGAGGAACATTTCATTCATCGCGCTGTACGCATGTACTTCGTGCGTTCACGTTTTCCCTTCTTCTCTCGCCGTCGATATCGCTGCTTTCGCATCGTCCCGAAACTGGATGGATCTAACGAAACGATTCGACCGATATCAATTGATTTGATGTCGATTTAAATGAAAAATATAGTCTCGAATAACGCGTTAATCAATTAGCACTGAAAATAACAAAACGTTCCTATATTACATATCTCATTTTTTTATATCGATTGTTACGTTAATTTATTATGAAAATTAATATTAATATTCCCTTTAATTTTAAATAATTCACTCGATCGCGTAATTTTTAAATGATATTGCTAAATATGATATACATTAATACAGAAATATACACACGCAGAGAATAATTTTTCCTGGCAAATCTAAAAATTTGGCCAGATCTAAAAGTAATTTTGTTGGATCATTAAAATTATTATGTAAGACATTTAAACATGATAATAATACTGCAAAAAATTATAGAACATTCTATACAATAATTTTGAAGGTTCAACAAAATCATTTTCAAATCCGGCCTTTCAAATTTTTAGATTTGCCAGCAAGTATTTTTTCCATGTACATGACGGATTAACTATAATTAATCTTGGTAGATCAATGAAGAACACACAGATTTATTGAAATACAAAACTTTAAATTATAAATAAGCTTGTAACAACAAACTAGCATTGCAAGTTGAAATAACTGAAGTGTTTCTGTTTTGATGATGATTATTTTATATATAAGAATCCAATACAAATTATAAAAAAGTCTAATCTTAAAAAAAATATGTAAAATTATATCAACAAGGATTTTACAGAAATCACATCACTCATAAATAATTGCTATTGATTCTTCTTGTTATATCTGAAACTTTTTATTCTTTATAAAGAATAAAATATAATTATAAGAAGAGAGAAATATTCTTATTCCTTAAAAAGTGAGCGAAATAAAAAAATGACTGAAAAACAGACTTAGACTAACCTAAAAGTACTCTCCTCCTTCCTGATATAAAAAATTCGAGTTTATATTATAATAACTTTAATTGAACGCGTTAATGTCCGTATTAATTCGAAATAAATCAGACGTGGAAACATTTCAATTTCATTGGAAGACGCGAAATCAATTTTACAAAACAATTTTTTCAACTATTTATCGCCGTAACCGTTACCGCTATGCGTGAAGTTAGCAACGGCTAATTGTATCCTAACTTGTATCCGAACTTGTTCCTTGTTCGATAACAACAGAACATCGGAGCGCTTCGAGAAAGCACAAAAGAAGAAAAGAATGGGACACAATTACGTCATAATCATTACCTTGTCGGCTTGTCTTTCGGTCCCTTGGGACTCCTTCGTCCCTTCGTTCCTTCGAGTCACTTCGTTCACCGCGTTCACCGCGAGCGAAACGGCGCGAGCGGAACGACGCGAACGGAATCCGATCGCAGACGCGAAAATCCGTACACGAGAGACGAGATGAAACCGAGGCGAGATCGAGACTGGGCCGCGAGAGACGACCGGCCAGACCGCGGCGATTCACGGGGCGCGCGTGTGTACGACGCGAAGGGAGTC